CATTAAAATAATGCATAATTTTCAATCTATTATTTAGATATGAGGGCAAATAAGGACATTTTTACACATACAATATTAACTATTTCTAAAGTAGCTGGATTATGATTGGCAGCAGGGTTAAGGCAAAGAATAATTGAAGATGTTCTCCATGAATATTATTGAATTTCAGAGCAAAGAGATACTCATGAAGATTGTGTTGAAGAAATAGTTTATTTAAATTGCATATGATAAAACAAAAACTACTGATTTAAAAATATGTTTTTAAGCCTAAAAATAAAATTCCAGATGACTGTAACATGAGAGAAATGTATATAGAAGAAAAACAGAAATAAGTAAAAAGGATTAGATTTTTTGTTTTTTCCATACTAGATTAGTTACTAATTCATTTTCTCAGTAAATATAAAATGAAATTAGAAAAGTTAAAATTTTAATAATACTCAATGAAAGAATAAATACAGAATGAACAGCAAACAACAGAGTGGGACAATTTATACAAGGAAATTAAATCAAATTATGGAAAAGATGAAAGTGAAAGTGTCAAAAATATAGTGAATCAAAAGCAAAGACGGAGAAAGCAGAAATATATTCACAAAGATTATAATCCTGTCCCCTCACAATTTTACTTCAAAGTATAAAACCTGAAAAAATTCCTTAAAACTATACAAAGAAATATATACAAGGATATATAGCAGTTAGTGTATTATGAGTGTGTGTATAGCATATATTCTAATTTTTAAAAGTAATAATATGAATATCTATTAATAGATGAATATATAAATAAATATTGAAAAATATTGAATATACTGTAGACTGCCAGAAAAATGAACAAATCAACCTGGCAGGAAATACAGTCACAATGCTCCTTAGAAACGAGAATGGAGAAGCTGTCTTCCTTTGTTTGGACATATGATTGGAAAAGATCAATCGCTAGAAAAGAACATCATGAATGGTTAAGTAGATGGTCAGTGAAAAGGAGGGAAATATTGCATGAAAAGAATTGACACAATAATTGCAACAATGGCTCAAACATACAAAACTGTGAGGATAGCATAAGACCAGGAAAGATTTCATTCTGTTACACATAAGGTTGACATGAGTGAGAGCTGACTTGTTGACAATAACAACAGCAAGTATAAATAAAACCAATATCATAAAGCAAAACACAAAGTACTTTTCTTTCAAAAATATTATGAGTGGATAATAAACTACAAATTTTTCTTTGATTTCAGAAAATCACATGCTAGCCTTTGCCTATGAAAACAAAGAAATTGGATTGAGGCAGTG